TAAGGGTGGTGGTGGTTACAAGGATGCTTGCCTTATATCGCCTTGTGTTGTTGTATGCAGTGTTTTTTTTTTTTGCATTTGTGTTATATTTAACAACAAAATGTTTAAAACATAAAATGTGGCCAGTTGTATTAGTTATCTGTTGCCACAATAATGCTGCGTAAACTCAATGGCATAAAACACTAAACATTTATTTTTGCTGCCAAGACTACAAGTTGGCTGGAGTTCTGTTGCTTTGGGCTGGGCTGGGCTGATTTGGGAGGGGCTCATAAGTGTGTGTAGTAAGCTCAGGGGTCTGTTGGGGGCTGGCTGCTCTGCTGTGCTCCACCAGGCCGGCCCCTGGCTTATTCTTATGGCTGAGGCAGGGGTCGAAGAGAGAGTGGACCTCGCTGAACATCATCACTCTCCCCGAATGCTATAGGCCAAAGCAAGTCACAAGGCCAGCCCAGATTTGAGAAATGTGGAAACAGACTCCACCTCTTGATGGGAGAAGGTACAGCCACATTCCACCAGCATGGGTGGGGGATTGGGGCAACTTTTGCAATTGGTGCCTTCCCCCTTTGGAAGGAAAACCATCCAGGCTATGGGACACAGACACTCCCTTCTCATGCCATCAAATTACTGAAAAAAAAAAACATGGGTCGTGGATGTTGTTTAGACAATTGAAGAATCCATTCTTTGGCAAGTGGTAGGAAGCAGGGCTAACAGTGATCGAATGTTACCGGCACTATTTTGGATGTAAAATAAAGGGAAAGTGCAAATACTTTGACTTGTCTCTGCCTCTCCGGGTCCTGAACTTTCTTTCAAAATGAGATGGAACAAATCTAAGTAAGATCTGGCGGAGACAGGGGATCTCCCTTAAATTTGGGACTATCCTAAGACAGTTAACACATTTTTTAAAAAAGATTTTATTGGGGAATTGGGGAAGGGGAACAGACAAGTTGCTGTTGGTTTGTTCTTCAGTCTAGTTGTGGAGGATGTTGCTTCGCTGGCCCAAGCTGGCACCATCATTGCGCTCTTCCCGGGTGAAGCAGATCAGTCGCCGGCCTCTGGACGGCCGCTCACGCTGGCTGCTGGCCGCTCACGCTGGCTGCCGGCTACACATGGTAGCTTATGGCAACCCACTGCAGCAGGGGACTACAGCCTACGCTGTCGCCGGCGACCCACGGCAGCCCAGCTCCAGGTTGAACTGTTGTTCAGCATCTTAGCTGTGGAGGGCAGTGTCACTGGCCCTCATATGTGGGATCCGAACTGGGGCCCTCTGGCATCCCAAGCAAGTTCTTAACCAACGTGCCACTCGGCCGGCCCGACAATTAACACATTTAATACTACTTTTGCCACTAAAAAAATAAAAGCCTACATCAGCCAATTTCTGCCAATCCTTTCCCATATTTTCTAGCAGATTGTAGGCTGGGACAGTGCCCAAGGACTTTTGGAAATGAGCAAAACCATGGGAATTGAAGACAGAACAGAGAAAAATAACAAATGTAATACAGCAACACATGAACAAATGAAGGAGTCCTTTTATTAGATCATCAGCCAAGAGATCTGTATATTCCTTTAATTCAATCAACTGATACTATACAGTGAATAAATACCTATAAATTCTTCCAGGTTTCACTATATTGAATGTGTCATGAGGAATGACTTTACCATTTAAGAATAAGTGGGCATTGGATCAAAAGCTTATTATGAAATAATATTAAATTGAGATTAAATACAGACATTACCAGCTCATGATTCCTTCTAAGATAACTCTTGAAGTTCAGAGGCAAAGAGTCTTTGCTGCCTTGAACAAATGATGCAGCCCACTGAGAGAGCAGAACTCAGTTTAAAAGCAAAGCTGGGGGTCGGCCAAGTGGCTCAGTTGGTGAAAAGCATGAGCTCTGAGCAACAGGGTTACGGGTTCAATTCCCACGTGGGCCAGTGAGCTGCGCCCGAGCTGAGCTGCCACTGAGCTGCCAACAGGTGTCAGGATAGCTCAGCTAGTGAGAGCATGTGCTCCTAACAACAAGGTTGCCAGTTTGACTCCCGCATGGGATGGTGGGCTATGCCCACCCGCAACTAAGATTGAACATGGTCACGAGCTGCTGACACCTGCCAGATGGCGACTGGGCTTTGGACTGAGCTAGCTACGCTCTCCACAACTAAGATTGAAGGACAACAACTTGGCTGTTCTCCTTCCCCAATTCCCCAACACTGTTCCCTTTCCCCAATTTCCCTAATAAAACCTTAAAAAAAAAAAGCAAAGCTTGGAAGATGTGCTTTCCCATCTTGGGAAATATATTTCTTTGACCAGTGGCTGCATGAAAACTGAAGCAGGCAGTTGAGTCCCATGGATTCCCTTTTTGATGTACTTCCTGGTTTAAAGGATGCCTCACCTATGGTAGAATCTTGGCACTGTCACCATACACATCCAGTAGTCATTACAGGAACAGAGCTAGCTGGATTATCAAATAGGAGTGACTGAAGTTCTCTGATTGACCATCATAAGGGAAGAGTCCCCTACCCAAGTCACCAGCTTTGCCTCATACACAGGCTGCTGCAGGCTTAGCCTAAGGTAGCAACTTCCTAACAAGGAAGACCATCTTAGATTATCGGTGCTCACAGAGAAGGAGAAATTACTCCGATCAAAATCCCTCACTTTACAGGTGAAAGGAAGCAGAGTCCCAAAGGACTAAGGTAGAAGGCACATCAAGGGGCAACTTTTAATTTTTTTTCTTTTAGCCAAGCTTTAAATATTTCAGGCCCAAACTTATTGCATTTAGCACAATGGCCATAGTACATAAAGTAACCCAAATTATCACTGAAAAAATAAAGTTATTTATTATTGCACAGAAATGAGATTGCCTGGCTCCAGATCTTGGTTCTGTCACTTAATACGGACAAGTCATTTCATCTCTCTGTGCCTTAATGTTCTTACTGGTAAAATGAGAATGCTAATAGAATCTGCTTCAGAAATTTGTATTAAATAATAAGTGCAAAGCATTTTATAACAGAGGCTGGCACATAATAGGTGCTCGGTAAGTGTTAGTTTTCAATATTACCTAGAAGAGGAAAGCCCATTTCACAGAGGGGCAAACTGAAGCCAGAGAAGGGTAGAGACTTGCTTAGCATCACACAGAAAATTGGATGTCTTTCCTGATCTTCCTGGCTTTTGAGACTCAGGCCCAAGGTTTAACAGAGGAAGGGCTCAGGGAAGCACAGAGAGAAGGTCAGGACTCTCTTCTGTTGGAAACCCTTCCATGAACGTGAATAAGGTCTGTACCTGATCTGATAGTATGGGACCAATGTCAACATCCTGGTTTCATGTAAGGTTTTACTTCCTGTGGTTACTATAAGGTGTTATTACTTATGTATTGTGAAAGTTACATAGGGATTCCTTGTACTATTGGGTTGTTGGAAAAGTCATGACCTTTTTTTTTTTTTAATTGGGGAATTGTGGAGATGGGAACAGTGCTGGGGAATTGGGGGAAGGGGAACAGACAAGTTGCTGTCCTTTTGTTCTTCAGTCTAGCTGTGGAGGACGTTGCTTCACTGGCCCAAGTTGGCACCATCATTGCGCTCTTCCCAGGCGAGGCAGATCAGTCTCCGGCTTCTGGATGGCCGCTCACTGCGGCTCCTGGCTGCTCACTCTGGCTGCTTGCTACACACAGTAGCCCATGGCAACCCACTGCAGCAGGGGCTGCAGCCTACGTCGTCGCTGGTGACTCACAGCAGCCCAGCTCCAGATTGAGCTGTTGTCCAGCATCTTAGCTGTAGAGGGCAGTGTCACTGGCCCTCATATGTGGGATCCGAACCAGGGCCCTCTGGCGTCCCAAGCCAGTTCTTAACCATCGCGCCACTCGGCTGGCCCATGACTTTTTTTTTTCTATGTTTTTTGTTGCAAAAATGCATCATGACTTTTCTGACAACCCAATATTTTCCCCACTTCTTGTGAGTGTTAAAGTATTTCAAAGTAAAAAAGACAAATACTTATTGGGCACCTACTGTGTGCCAGGACTTGTTCTAGGAGCTGGGGATTCAGCAAAGAACATGACAAGATCCCACTCTGGAGGAGCTCCTCCTGTGATAGAGTTCTTCATGGAGTGGTTCTGCACCAGGACTGGAGTCTGACAACTTGTTTAAATTTTTTTTCTTTTTTTTAGCTGAGCCATCCTGCTACCTGTTGGCAGCTCAGCGGCTGCTCAGCTCGGGCTGGACTCGAACCGCTGTTGCTCAGAGTTCAAACTCTTGAGCAAGCTCTTAACCAACTGAGCCACTCGGCCGGCTCTTGACAACTTGTTTGAATCCTGGCTCTGCCACTTACTAGCTGTGGGCATGTATAGCACTTAGCTCTATATAAATGTAAAGTCTGTTATTATTTTTCTCCAGGTCTTTCAGTTGTCCCCTCTTTTAGGGAGCCCTCTCTGCCCCACACTGGCTCTAGCACCTCTTCTGGGATCCCACAGGTCCCTGCGATGCCCTCACCATACCTCTGACCCATCTGCCTGGGCATCTCCCACCCCAGTCCTGACCACACTGGGCAGTCATTGTTTAGTGATGGGTATGTCTCCCCCACTGGACAGGGAGCCTGATCCCTGGACCAGGGCTTTCCTGATCGCTGCTCTGTCCCCAGAATCACCCAGCACTGGACGGTGCACACGAGAAACATAAACATAAACCGTCCACTTACACAGTGGAAAGTTCACGAACTTAATTGTCCGACCTCGACCTCGTATACTGAACACATGAATGTGAGAGGAACCCTAGGGTAATCTGTGTGTTCCTTACCTTGGTGGTGGAGGTTAAAGGGATAGGAGTTATTAGGGGAGACCTAGCCGCCCCATCCCTGGCCCAGAGCGCTAGAACCTGCGCAACGAGTGGAACACCGTGTAACAGTTCCCCCCTTGTGGTTGCGTCCCATTTTAGAACCCTGGTGTATGCAAGGCTCTCCCCCGCCCAAGGAAGGAGGGCAGGCGGGATCCCAACCGGGGTTTTCCCGGGTCTCCCTGGCCCCCATGAACAACCAGGCGCGGGCCCCAGCCCCCTCCCCGGCCCGGACCTCGGGTTTGGTCCGGGCTTCGACCCCGGTTAGGCCCTCGATCCCTGTCCGGTCCCCGACTCTGGGCCCGGCCTCAACCCCGGTCGGAACCCCGCTACCGGCTCCGGCCTCAGCCTCTGTCTGGACCCCGACCCTGGTCCCCTCTGCCCTGGTCCATACCCCGACTCCGATCCGGACCCAGATTCCGGTCCGGACCTTGATCCCAGTTCGGACCCCTACTCCTGTTCGGACCCTGACTCCTGTTCGGACCCTGACTCCTGTTCGGACCCCGATCCCGGTCCCGGTCAGGACCCAAACCCCAATCCCACGCCCGGTCCCGGTCCCAATCCTGGCCGCTGTCCCTGCCTTGGAACCCTTCCCGAGCTCGGCCCCACCTTTGGATCCGTCCCCAGAACCTGCTCCAGAGCTCACTTTGTCGCCTGATAAGGAATCTGCACCGATGCCGAGTGTGAAGCGCGTCCTATCAGTCACCAAAGAAATCCGGCCCACTCAAGAGCTCTTTCCTGCGCTCACTCCATCGGCCACTGATGTACTCGGGCCCACTCTCGGATCCACGCCGAGAGCGGATCCAGTGGCCACCACGTTGACAGAGACCACTGCTGGACCTATTCCCACGCCCATCTCTTCAGCCACCTCTTTACCTATTTCTGCCAACACATTCGCCTCTACTAGCGAGTACTTCCAAGTTGACAACAAGATCGTGATTCGAGTGAACTACTGGTGAGGAGTTGTCCCCACCCATGCCTGCTTCCCTCCCCATGGGGAAAGGGCTGGATGGGTAGGTGCTGGGGCTTTGGGGATTTGAAGGTAGGGCGAGGGGAGGGAGTCCCAATTTCCAGATCGGAAACTTGGCTCCACCTAGCGTTCTTTCTGGGGCTAGAGAGCTCTGGGTTCAAATTCTTGCTCTGCCCCTCCCCCTCCATTCCTGGCTCCGGGCTTCATTCATTGATTCTCACTTATTCATTTTGGAGTGTCCTGCGCACCATTGGCCACGCCTGTGCTGGGGATGTGCGAAGCAGAGCCACCTGCTTTTGTCCCCAGGCCAGGCTGGACAACAGACCCAGGAGGGAAGACGAGTGGTGGGGAACTTCAGATTGTGTGGTCAGGGAGGGCCTTTCTCAGAAGGTGACACTTCAGCTGCCACGTCTCAGTGTTGAGAAGGACGCTGCTAGGTGAAGAGCTGGGGGGTGGGGTGGGGGGGAAGAGATCAAGATAGCAGGGGGGAGAGGAGGCAGCAAGTGCAAAGCCAGAGGAGACTGGCCCCAATTTCTTTTTGTGTCCTTGACAACAGTATCAGCAATGGCCTTCCTTGACCTTCCTGAGACCCAGGGCTGAATGCCGTGGGGGGAGGGGCTTTGTCTTGGCTCCAATCTTCATGCCTCTCTCCTGCCCTAGAAGGTTCTCTCCCCCTTGTCATTCCCTTTCTCACTTCTTTCTGTCTTCTAGCTCTGCCCAGGGCCATCTCTGCCACTCTGTCTCTCTCCCCAACTCACTGTCTCTTCTCTGACTGTATGGATTAATTATTTCATTCAGTCAACAACCATTTATTAAGCACCTCCCGTATGCCAGGCCCTGTTCTCGGCATTAGGGACACAGCAGTGTCAGAGATCCTGTCCTTGTGGTGCTGACATTTTGGTGTGGGATAAGTATGATACATAGTCAATTATTGGGTATTTTAGAAGGTGATCAGTGCTATGGACAAAAAGCATCTTGGGGTGTCACAGTTTTAGCTGGGGTGGTCATCAGAAAGGCCTCAGTGAGGAGGTAGCAGTTGAGCAAAGACCTGAAGGAGGTGGGAGGAGGAACCATGTGGATACCAGGGACAGAGCATCCTGCAGAGGGAACAGCCAGCGCAGAGGCTCTGAGCAAGGCATGCCCGGATGCTGGAAGGAGAGTGAAGAGGTCCCTGTGGCTGGAGCAGAGTGGCCAGGGGGAGAGTGGGAGAAGATGGGGCAGAACCTGTGGGGGCTTGTGGACCACAGGGACGACTGTGGTTTTCTGCCCCGAGTTAGATGGTGCTATGGGAGGGCTCTGAGCAGGCGAAGGATGTGACCTGACTCAGATGTTCACAGGGTCCCTCTGGGCTTGGGGAGATACTGACATGGTGTCTTCCTTCTGTTTCTCTCTGCCTCCCTCCTCTTGCTCTTGGCTTCCAGTGGCCTCTGAAGCTATAGCCTTCGGGTGAGTGTTTTTGGCTTTGGAGGTGGGGGGAGTGTGGGACATGAAGCCTGGAAGGAATTCCTGTTTTCTCTCCTTGCAAAACCCCTGACCCCATGACCCCATGACCCCATGACCCCATGACCCCGTGATCCTGTGATCCTGTGGCCCAATGATCTCATCTCCTCTCTACAGTACATTCTACTGAAAAAGAGTCTGGATCAGCAATTTCCAAATTGTCTACTCTTTGTGAGTGTACTGGTGATCTGGGGAGTGGTGGGTAGTCAGGGCTCCAAGA